ATATTAAGGCAGCTGTGTCTACCTCTTCTCTTACCCCAGCAACCTCCTCTGGGAATTCCAGGTGCACTATGACATACCCTTGATAGGGGTATTCATCCATGCTGAGGCCACACAGGCCAAGGCCAGTCAGTGGCTGTATAGGCAGGTGCCTAAGCATCTGTTGGTAGAATGACTGAAATATAATAGTCACTTGAGATCCAGTGTCAAGCACTGCTTTACACTCCACCCCTTCGATCCTCACTGTGACCTCTGCTCGAGGCCCTATCAGTCCTGCAGGGATCCCAGCTGGACAGTCTTTTCTGGGGGAATCTTCAAATCCTGCAGACCTGGGGGGTCCCCGTCCCCAGACCCTCTGGCAGCTACCGGATCTCTCCCAACTGATCCTCAGCTTTCCATACACTAAGGAGGGGTTTTCTTCATTATGGCACTTGGCAGCACTGTGTCCATCCTGACCACATCGGTAGCAGAAGAACTGACCTTTCCCCTTCGCCTGGGGGAGATGGTGGCTCTAAGTGCGGGCTTCTCAATCGCCACAGTTTGAGGCTTCTTATTCCTGGAAGTCTTAACTCGGTCAACGGTACTTTGCAGCTCAGCTATCCGTTCCATCAGGACCTGCATTTGTTGGGCAAGTTCCTCTCTGGTGCTCACCATCAGTACACTGGCCGTGTGCAGTGGTGTTGTGCTGGCTGGCTCCGATGTTTGGGCTTCCCAAAACTCACTGGCAGCCTGCCTTTCTTCCTCCTCTCTGACCTCTTTTATCAGCTGGGAGTAACTTGGGGGATGTTCCCGTCGTTCTCTTAGCTGGAGATGAAGTAGAATTGGGTTCTGATACTGAGTTCCTCTTACAATTTGAGCCAGTCTGGTCTGATCCACCTGCTCAGCAGTCACTGCTCCCCTCATGACAACTCTCTGAAGCAGTCTCTCCAGTCTCTGTATGTAGGCTGAAGCCTTCTCGCCCTTTTGTTGTCGGGAATTAAGGAACTTACAGTAGCTGTCTTCAGGGCCCTCTACGCTCCCAAAGTTGTGTTCAAGGGCCTCTAGGCAGTCCTTCACACTGACCCCAGGGTCAATGAGCTTCAGGGTGCAAATCACATCTAATGCTGGGCTGCCAAGGCTCTCTATAAGGCATCTTCGCTTTTCTGCATCTGGTACGGCCCACTCTTGCAGCATTTCAGTGGTATGCTCTAACCAGGGTTCAAACTCCTCCTCCCCAGCAAATAATCTTAACTTACGACAAGAGTCTGACTCAGCATGGGGCAGCACAACCTTTTCCAATGTTTGCCCCAGAGCTTTTGTCCAATCATCAGCCGAGGCTGCAGCCTCTGAGCTAGAAGCTGCTGAGCCAGGGCCCAACAAACCTGACATATTAGCCATTATACAAACAGTAATTTCCTCAAAATATAAGCACAAACAAAAAAAATATAAATTGTTTCCCAATGTAGTGGATCACTCAACAGGTGCTTGCGAGGGGTACTGACCCACGCGATCCCGGACGAGCCCCCAAAAATGTAACCCTTCTGCCCGTCAGAGTTGGCAGCAACAAGGGCCGGGTTCAATATCTAGGGGATCCATTCCAATAACACAATGCAAACTGGCTCGAGCCCCCACCCAGTGACCTGGGACAAATATATACCACCCCCACTGGGCGCCTCCAAGAGGCAATACTTCCCCTCTCGCAAGCACATAGTCTGAGTGTAGCAAAAGCCTTTTAATAACAGAGAGAAACAATGTGGCATTATGTTGGGGAAACACCACCAACAGGATTCATAACACAACCCATGAGCAAAAAAAAAACCCACCCCAAGCAAATTGGGGCATGCCCTTTTCCCTTTGGTTCTTGAGTCCAGCAACCCCAAATCACCCAAAGTCCCAAAAGTCCAATGACCCAAACGTCTCTGTCCCTGGTCAGGGCAGCCCCAGAGTTCGAAACTTTATCTGCGGAGCTTTACCTCCCAACCTGGGTGGAGATGGGAGGGGGTAAGAGGCACCTTACATGATCTGAAGCTGACCGCCCCACAGCTCCATAGCTGCGCTCTGCTCCGCCAGCCGCCCCACGAACTCCTTCGCTCAGCTGCGCTCTGCTCCGCCAGCCGCCCCACGAACTCCTTCGCTCAGCTCCGCAGCCCACAAGCAGCTCCTGCCATCCACAAACTGCTCCGCGTCGAACTGCTTCACCAGCCTGTCCACAAGGCGCTCCAGCCGTCCTGCAAACTGCTCCACAATATATCTTCAGGCTCCCCCACTACTTAACACAACACTCAGTGATTTCAGCTCTTAGCAGGGGAGCCCCAGTGCTGGTGCACTGTTAGCCCAAAGTGAGCTCAGCAGCCTATAACCAGACTTCTAATGAAATCAAAATTAGCTCGGATATTCCACAGTGGAGAGAGGAGGAAGTGCAGTTAGCATGTAAGGCCCTAACCAAGGGGCCCATGCCACCAAGTATTAATATTTATCCCCAGCCTCTCTCCATTCACAGAGTTTTGGAACCCATGACCCTTGCCTAGCGAGTGCTACTTAGTTGATGGTGAATCCCTCCATCATAACAAAAGGCCACGTACAGTTCCAAGCACAGTTCCCATAATCAGGGTAATAACAATTTATTCTTCCTGCCCCAATAACAGAGACACTGGGGATCCCACAGCAGCCAAAGTGACCATTTGGGCAGCTATGGTCTCATTCTAGGCGGGGTGGGTGTGCCTATGCAAATGAGATCGGCCCCTGAAGTTCTTTTCCACAACTTGCCACACCTCACCACCAGATGTCAGGGTGGAGCTCATCCTGACACTGCTTACACCAATAAAACCTGCCAGATAAATATTTACTGTCTTTCTCAAGGGTGGAATTTCTCTGCCAAAATTAAACTGGTCTATGGCCCAGGATGGGCAATATTCAGTCCAGGATTAACTTCAGTAGCAGGAAAATTGGTTGAAATTATAGTAAGGAACAGAGTTATTAGACACCTAGATGAACACAAAATGTTGGGGAAGAGTCAACACAGTTTTTGTAAAGGGAAATCATGCCTTACCAATTTATCAGAATTCTTTGAGGTGGTCAACCACTATGTTAAAAAGGGTGATCCAGTGGATATAGTGTCAAAGGCTTTCTGAAAGTCCAAGTCCAAGGTCCCACACTCAAGGCTCTTAAGCAAAGTAAGGAGCCCTGGGATAAGACAGAAGGTTCTCTCATGGATCAGAAACTGGTTGGTATAACGGGGTCTCCCAGGCATCTGTACTGGGACCAGTGTTGTTCAACATATTCATTTATGATCTGGAAAAAGGGGTAAATAGTGAGGTAGCAAAGTTTGCAAATGATACACAATTACTCAACCTAGATAAGTCCAAAGCAGCCTGCAAAGAGTTATAAAGGGATATCATAAAACTGAATGACTAGGCAACAAACTGGCAGGCGAAATTCAATATTGATAAATGCAAAGTAGGGCATGTTTGGAAAACACAATCCAACTATACGTACAAAATGATGGGGTCTACGTAGCTGTTACCACTCAAGAAAGAGATTGTGAAGTCATTGTGCATAGTTTTCTGAAAACATTTGCTCAGTGTGAAGCTGCAGTCAAAAAAGCCAACAATGTTAGCAACCATTAGGAAAAGAATAAATAAAAAGACAGAAAATATCATGCAACTATATAAATCCATGACATGCCCACACCTTGAATATTGTGTGCAGTTCTGGTCACCTCATCTCAAAAGATATATTGGAATTGGAAAAGGTAAAGAGAAGGGCAACAAAAATGATTAGAGCTATGGAACAGCTTTCATATGAGGAGAGATTAAAAAAACAGACTAGTCATCTTGGAAAAGAGACTGCTATGGGGGGACATGATAGAGCTGGGAATGGGCAACAGGGGATGGATCACTTGATGATGATTACCTGTTCTGTTCATTCCCTTGGGCACCTGGTATTGGCCACTGTCAGAAGACCGGATGCTGGGTTAGATGGACCTTTGGTCTGACCCAGTATGACTGTTCTTATGTTAGGTCTATAAAGTCATGAATGGTGCAGAGAAAGTGAATACTTTACTCCTTCACATAATACAAGAACCAGGGGGTCACACAATGAAATTAATAGGCAACCGTTGGGTTTTTTTAAAAAAGGAAGTGCTACTTCACACAAGGTAGAGTCAGTCTCTGGAACTTGTTGCCATGGGATGTTGTGAAAGCCAAAAGTATAAATGAAATAAAAAAGTTTATGAAGGACAGGTCCATCAGTGGCTATTAGCCAAGACGGTCAGGGATGCAACTCCATGCGCTAGGTGGCCCTAGGCATCTGCCTGAGAGATGCTGGGACTGAACCACAGGGAATGGATTTCTTGATGATTGCCCTATTCATTCTCTTTGAAGCACCTGGCATTGGCCATTGTCGGAAGACAGGATACTAGGCTAGATGGACCTTTGGTCTGACTTGGTATCGCTATTCTTATGTTCTTAGGCCCACTGCCAGGTATAAGGTCTGACATCTTGCTACCCATCAGAGCTCAATAGCAGAAAACCGGGAATGCTTCCAACCCAGCTGTAGAGGAGAATCACTTCCAGGCCTGCAGCCCTCGCCTTCGCAGCAGTGGCTGGAGGCAGAGGGAATGGCACATAGCCATGGAGCACAGAGTTGCTGGGGAGCCCCAGTGGCGGGTGCCCGATGGCTGAGGCGCCTCTGGACAGCCAGTGACTGGAGCCCAGGGGTGGCCAGTGAGTCCATGCCCCTAACTAAAGACGTGTGGCTTCCAGGGGGGCTGTGCGGGCCCGTCACAAAGCATTGCCCTGTTCCCATCTCCGCGGGCGCTGATCCCGCCCCCGGCGCCCCTGCCTGCAGGCTGGGTGGTGCCCCGGGCTTTGGCCCCGAAGGGCAGGGGCTGCAGCAGAGCTCGGTAGGCGCCGGGGGAGAGTCGCCGGACCAAGCCCGCCCCCAGCCGCGGCTCCACCAGCGGGGCGGGCGCCGGCCGCGGCCAGGTGAGGCGGCCCCGCCCCGTCCCGTCTCCCGGCCCGGGCGGCAGCGGGTGAGCGGCGAGCATGGCGGACTCCCAGCTGATCTGCCTGGACGACACGCACGTGAACGAGAAGGTGACCGAGGCCCAGGCCAGGTTCTACTACAGCGAGGAGCAGCGCCGGGCGCTGGAGGTGCTGGTCGCCCAGGGCGAGCCGGCCTACCGGGAGCGGCTGCAGCAGGGGCAGCTGCGGGACTTCCTCTCCAGCCGCGAGCTGCGAGCCCTGCCGGCCGGCTGGCGCGGCTACGATGCGCACCTGGAGGGCGGCGGGGCCGGCGGCGAGGGCGTCTCGCTGGCCTACTGGCCGGAGTGCTCCGACACCGAGGTGCCGCCGCTGGACTTGGGCTGGACGGACAAGAACTTCTACCGGGGCATCAGCCGGGTGAGTCTCTTCACCCACCCCTGGAAGGAGGAGAGCGCGCCGCACCTCAAGCAGATCATTCGGGAGATGATCCAGCAGGCACAGAGGGTAGGTGTGTCCCCTCCCCGGTTCACTTCATCACCCCGGAGCACCGCGAGGGGGCCCTTCCCCCTGCGGGCTGCGGCACTCACACGCCCCCACCGCCCCGTCCGCTGGGGAAGCGGATCTGCTCGGTGGCTTGTTTCCATTGAGCTCCTCCTCTCCTCTCAGAGGGCAGCAGCGCTTAACTTTGTCATCCGCTGAGCCACTTTTCTTGCACGTCCTGTGAAGAGCGTGATTACTGCAGGGACAGGCGCTGTCCTATAGAGCTTCACTGTAAAGGATTCTGGGAGGCCTCTGGGAAGGAGCTGGCATACAGTGCTTGAACTTGAGGGTCATCATGGATGGAAAAAGTAGAGGAGAAAACACCCCAACAATAAATCGATTTTCTTTCCTTGCTGTGTCAAATAGGAGACAGTTAGTTATGGGCCCCCAAGATCTATAACCCACTAATGTCCTATCCAGCATCTCATTGTATTCAGTCACTTTACTGTTAATCAAAAAATAAGTTTTGCCAAAGTGACTCCATCAAGAATCTATATCCAGGACTGGATACCCCATTGTTAATGGGGTTTTATATCAGCTGCCCGTTTTGTACTGTCAATTTGAGTCAGTGGCTCAGACAATCACATATTTAGAGTCTCTTTCAATTCTCTCTTTCTCTCTCTCATATGTAGGTAAAACTATTTAAACTCTGTAAATTTAGATAGATTCGTTTCTTGATGGATTTCCTAATCTATAGTTTAGTGGTTGAATGCTCTCTTAATCCAGTCTTGATTGCTAAACAGTTGGATTTGAGACAATATATAGCTGTATTTATCTTTTGGGGGCAGAGAACTGTTGTTAATGTTCTCTGCCAAGAAGACAAACCAATAGGAAGATTCCAAAAGTTTGCATGGAACATGGATGTATCAAGAGTATTTCTCTTGTCAGCTGAGCTGAGGCTTCCAGGAAAGAGATCCCACTTAAAATGGCTTCTCTTCTTGCACAGGTTTCCTTTGGTGTTGGCACTTTCAAACATGTCAAATCGGGAGGCTACTTGATCCCTCCCCTTCCCTGCTGCTGTTCTGTGGGTAATGGGTGCCGTTTGGGTCTCCCCATATACACATATCTCTCGCAGATTCATTGTGAAAATCTTTGCTATGTGAGACAGGATATGAAGCAGTTTTCTGAAAAGATTCCCTCTTCAAACTACATATTCCCCTTCTTCCCCCACTCTGAATAATGAAGGCCTGATTAATTGTTCACCTGCACCTTGTGTAGTCACATACCAATGCAAAGTGGCTGTGAAATGTTTGTATTCTGAGTTAGTAGCATTTTACATCTATTTTGCACTTTGCACTGGTGTAAATGTCTAGACAAGGGGCAGGGTGGTGAGGAATTGGGCTGTTTCAGCCTCTGTACCTGAAGGCCAAAAGTGGCCAAAAGTTGTTGGGGTTTTTTTTTGTTTTGCTGACTTGGACAAACTGAAAACCCTGTGCTCCTCCCAATGCAAAGGTGATTGCATGGACATTTAATGGCCCTGTCTAGATAAACCTGCCTGTCATGCTCATGTGAACTGACCTAGAGAATATTGTTGTAGCCATGTTGGTCCCGGATCTTAGAGACAGAGTGGGTGAAGTAATATTTTTTTTATTGGACCACTTTCTGTTGGTTAGAGAGAAAAGCTTTCGAGCTACACGGAGCTCTTCTTCAGGTCTGGGAAAGGTCAGGTCAGCTAAATACATGGTGGAACAGCTTGCTTAGATACCCCAAGAGAACCTGCTTCAATACGGGGGGGAGGGGGGGAACATCTGTCACCCCTATTTGTCACCCTCCACCCCACCCTGGAACCCATATAGGGTATCACTAAACTATTACAATCCATACTCAATGGGGACCACATCCTGAAAGAAATGTTTCCTAACCCCTCCCCCATCGCCTCCGCCTTCTAGCCTTCTAACAACTCACCAAGCTTCTCAGACGCAAGCTCATCACAGACCAGGAACCATGAGCTCAAAGCACCTTGCCAGAACATCTGCAGGTTTTGCATCTGTTATATCTACACCGCTACAATGACCATTCCCCGCCCCCATCACACCTTTCAAGATCCGTGGGTCCTACATGTGTCTATCGTAACATGTGGTGTACCTCAGGCAGTGCACTAAATGCCCCCCAAACAGCTATGTGGATGAAACCAGATAATCACTATGCTCTCAAATGAACTCGCACAGAAAAATGATAAAAGATTAACATATCAATTACCAAGGGGCGAACACTTTTCACAAAACGAGCGCTCCATATCTGACCCCCTCAATCCTTGTCCTCAAAGGAAACCTGCACAAGGCCTTCAAAAGAGGGGCCTGGGAGCTTAAATTTGTAACTTTGCTAGACACTAAAAATCATGGTCTTAGGGGCAGCTTCTTTCTCCCCTTGCAGAGGTGGGCTGAGCAGGTGTTGATAACACCTGGCACATTTCTAAGGCTTATCAGTGTTTTACAAAGATGAATAAATGAAGCCTCCTCGCCACTGTGAGGTAGCCTAGTATTGTCTTGCCAACCCTCTACGTGTCCGCGAAGAGTCAGGCACACCTGTGGAACTACAGAAATAACTAGCCCCATGTTATAGATAAAGATGGTGGGAAACTGTGGTGGGGGGTAGCCCCGCATACTCTGAATTGCTCTTTGTCACTTTTCCAGGTAATCTAGGGAGATCATCACCAGGTAACCCTGTCTGCATCTTCCCTATGGCACAGTCATTGCCAATTTGTAAACCGTGATACGCTATTTGTGCCAGCATTACAAACATCCTGGAGCAAGTGCCACATGGTGAGCATTTGTCACCTATTTTCAGAAAATTTCAGGGCCGTCATTTGTTTTCATGAGTATATCCCATTCCTACAGTTTGCAGGGGAACCAGGGCCCAGCATTTATTTGAGAAACCAAGGCATCATTTTTGTGACATTATTTTGTTTACCAAGGCAAATGTAAACAGGTGACAGTCCCCACCTAGGCCTGATGTAGCCCAGCCAGAAAAGGGACTGCTCATCACAAGAAGAGGGGTGGAATGTAATAAAGACTTCTGCCCAGAGTGCTGGAGGAAGAGATGATCTACAGGAGGTGCAGAATGTTTCTCTCTCGCTGTTTGTTCTTGGTCTTGGGGCAATTACTGTGGAGCTGGGAGTATTTTGCTCTCCCCCTGCCACTGTTTTAGTCTAGCTTCACCTTTGCACCAGGAACTCCAGCCCAGATCCTATCTGATGACAGGGCAATGTTCTGCCACTAGTTGGCCATATCTGGCCCTATGTCACAGAGGTGGTTGTGTGTATAGCTTATTCACTCTCTGATCACCTGTGGCGAATACGTGAAGCTAAGTATGCTGGAAGCTGTCTGTCGTTTAAGAACAGAACGGGTCTGGTGGAGCAATGGTCTTTGGCAGTGGTAAGTCCCTGTCTGTATGGTGAGAGTCTGCTGTGGCATGGTTTGGAGCATACAAGGGCAATCTCTTTCCCAGATTCAGTTTGCCTCTCTAGTGAGGATTATTCACCCTGCTGTAGTTACTACCCCTTGAAGCCTGAGTTGGACCTCTTCCAACCTTCAGCTGAAGGAAAGGAGCTCTTCTCTGCACTGAGCTGGGAACCATACTGCCTGATTGGGTTGAAAAAGAGTGTAAAATAGTTTCATGCTACCTCTGTTTAACACAATACTGCTGGCCATTGTGAACGGCGCCCATGGAATTTAAACTTTATTCAGACAACTCTGTTCCCAGCCTGTAGTGCAGAGCGCCTCTCACTGCCCAAGTTTACATGCCTGCCATAAATGAATGAGACCAGCCTCCTGTGGTGATTCATTCACAGCCTTCCAAAGGCTGGGGAAAGTCTTTCAGGAGAAAGAGGCAAGTTGGGACTTGATATTTCTAGTGTTTTAAAACGGGAGAATAGGGTAGGGTGTGGACCACAGAGAAAAGCCCTTTGAGATCACCTTCCCATATTGTAAAAGGTGCCAACAATCTTCTTGCTTTGTAATTTCCTGTAACCACTGACTGTTCAGGCTTTTGTGAGTTTAACAGCATGTTAACGTAGTCTTTTGCTTTTTTTTAATAAATTTTGTGTTTGGAAAAATGTATCCTGTTGGGCATTCAAAGTGAAAGGGGGTGGGGAGGATTTTTGTAGCACCAACAAACGCAGACCTGAATGCCAGACCATCTCTGTTGTTATAAATATGAGCAGGTGTGTTTGAACCCCCTAGGTCAGATATAGAAATGCATTTCTTGTGAACCCAGCCCAGGTAGGAGAATTCTTAAGGGAATCTGTGGAACAGAAAAACAAAATCCCACTTCTCCCCACACCCTTAGTATTCTGTCTCCTCTGCCCACAATTTCTCTGGCCCCTTGTGCTGAGCAGGTGAACCTTGGTTTTCCAGGGTCTCTTCACATGTAGGTAAATCACTGTGAGACAAACATGGTGGAGAGGTCTCACAGTGGAGGTGAAAACCGGGCAGCTGGCTGTGTTGTTCTTCATGCCTCTGATTAATATGCAGCATTCCCTGGAAATGACAAGAGAGCTCCCAACAAGAACTAACAAACTCTTTCCTTGTACATGTGCAGGCACTGGGAGCCATGCCAGGAAATAATGAGATTACTGAATTGTGTTCAGACATGTGTTTCTCTCGCGCTTTAGTTTGCCTTGAGTATACTCTCTACCCAGCTGGCCTGGCACCCAGACCCTTTTGTTTTATATTAGGAGTGAGATGGGGACATGCAAACACACTATCTCTAATACTGTATTTTACTTGCCTCTCTTTCTGCCCGATCCTTGCTTCCAGATCATTGCGGTGGTAATGGATCTGTTTACAGACCGGGACATCTTCCAAGATATTGTGGACGCAGCATACAGGTGCCGGATCCCAGTCTATATAATCCTGGATGAGGAGGGTGTGAAGTTCTTCCTGGAGATGTGCAAGTGTATGAATCTCAGTAGCTTCCAGATCCAGGTAATATACTGTGGTACAATGGAGGCCATGTCAACGGTACAGATGTTCCGGTGTAATGCCCAGGTGTAGACACTTGCTACGTCAACAGAAGGGGATTTATTTGTCAATATAGCTCATTTTTTTTCAAGAAGCAGTAGCTAGGTTGACTGAAGAATTCGTCCTTCGACTTAGCCATGTTTACACCAGAGGTTAGGCCAACCTAACTATGGTGTTATGGGTGTAAAATTTTTCACAGCTCTGAATGATGTAGCCTGGTCGATTTAACTTTTCATTATAGATCAGGCCAGAGCTTAAAGGGACTTTGTGTCTCCAACAAGGGGCTGAGCTGCTGCAGTTCTGGGGTGGATCAGAGACTGTTTGGATGGATAGCTGAGTCCCTTCTAGTTGCAATGTGCTCTGGTTGGCAGAGGGGAGTTGGGGACAGGAGCCATATTGGAAAGCAGGAGAGTAAGAAAATGGTTCTCTGGTGCTGAGTGGAGAAGGAGAAGACAGAGGAATGACCTTGGGGTGGGGAGCCCAGAGTAGGAAGGGGCCTGAGGAGGGTTTGTGGCTGACTGACTTAAGCATCCCTGATTGGAGAGAACTTTGTCATGGAGAATCATGTGCCTCTGGAGCAGGGATTCCAACTGATCTAGAACCGAAAGGTCTCAGTCATTCTCTGACTATTATTTGGGCCTGTCGATTTTGTTTGTCTGAATGTTATCTAATTCTGTCTCGTTACTTTACTGAACTCACTTCTATTATCTCTGCCAGACTGGGACTAAAGTTCCCTGCTAATTTTGTGACCCCAATGTGTGAGTGAGTGTTTTTCCTGGGTGAAGGCATTGCATGGGAGGTACCCCGGAGGCTCTCCCAATGGGAGTGCCTGCAGAGCTTGCCTCCAGGGTTTGTGGGTAGAGGTCACTAATTTTTGTGCACCACTTCTCAGGCCTATATGCACCAAGACGGTGTCAGTTACAGTATGTTCATGTACCAGTGTCACAGAACTGGAATAAAGGTCTGGGTCTAGTCTACCTGATGAGGAATAGTGTGTGGGCAGTAGGAAAATTTTCACATTAAAGAGAGAGAGAGACAAACAGGTCCCCTTCATGTATATACCATAACCTGCTGTGAGGCCATGACCAGCCTGCTTTGATTCCTAGCAGGAAATCGCTGGTCATTGCTCAGGGTGAAAACCAGGTCTCCTGTGGTTGAAGTAATTGCAAAGCAAATTCAAATACAAAGAATATGGTTTCCTGAAGCCTGAGAGTGGTAGATAAAAACAAGGCTTCTGCAACCAGAGGTTTCTAAATGGATACAAACTGGAGGGTTGAGTCTAGCTGAGGTCTAGGCTTGTCCTCTGCTTTCTTTTTTCAAAAAATGTGTAATGGCTACACTCCCCTTTTATACTTAGCTTCCTGCTGCCATTGGGGGAGACTTCAGTTCTTGAGTTCACCCTTATTCCCCCATGAATGGGCTTCACTGCCAGTCTTGCAATGAAGTCAGACTTCTGATCTCCTTCTCAGGGATAGTAGTTTTTACTTTCACCCAGCTAAATAGCAGGTAGCCATATCAGCTTTTGCTGGGTTTTCCTCAGATCTTACAGGTTAAGCAGGATCAAGCTAGATCAGTACTGGAATGCGAGACCTCCAAGGAACACACAGGTTCTGTAAGAAGTGGTGGTGCCGATGACTGAATAGATGGTACTTTCCCCTGTGTTCACATTGAACTAAGGTCCTAACACGGTAATAAGGGGGTGGTCTGCTGCTGGAAGTGCCATCTTCCAAGTGAGCTGTAACACCGAGATACTGATTAGTTGCAGTCGTTAAATGATCCCATAGCACTCTGATTTTTCTTTTTTTTTTAACTCTTAAGAAATGTTCTGGCCGTATTTTAATTTAGGAAATTACACTCTGCTTCAACTGGATATCATATTCTTTCTCTTAGGGTACATCTACATTTGAGCTGGGAGGTGTGATTCCTAGCTTAGCACCTAAAAATAGCAGTGTGTCCACAGCAGCTAAGGTGAGTCGCCTAAGTACATACCCAGGGAGTTGGATGAGATTGTACTTGGGGCAGCTAACTTGAGAGGCCACCTAGGGTGATGCAGACACACTGCTGTTTTTAGGTGATAGCTTGAGCAGAGCTAGCATGGATACGTCTGTGCAAGCTGGGAATCACACCTCCCAGCTCAAATGTAGACATGCCCTTAAGCTATTTAATAGCATAGTAGTGCTCCGTCCTAGAGGTGAGTACATTTCAGTGGAGGGATACTGTTCCCTCTGTATAGTTTATCAATCTTTAAATACCCTGAGATCTTTCAGGGTAAGAGACGTTATAGAAATATATGTTTTTGGAGATAATTGATGTGGTATACTCACAACATTGCATGTTATTTGTGTTTTCTGCACATGAAGCCATATCGATATAGCTTTGTCTCCACACTGTTACAGGGTATTTGGGTGATTTTTGTTGTTGTTGTATTTTTCTACTCCCTCTGTGCACATGTAAAGAGTCATTTTTAGATCACAGTAATTAAAAGAAAATCAAATTTGAATTCTTTTTACCAAAAGCAGGAAATGCAATGTGCAAATCCAGTGAAAACTCCACTTGCTAAATACTGTTGTAACATGGCTGGCTGTGTGCTCACACAGACTGCTCTAGTCAGATTGCTTCCTGGTTAAAAAAAAAAAAAGTCACATAACCTCTTGTACCTTTTTCTGACTGATGTGAAAAAATGAGGTCATTCTGTTTGCAGATCATGGGCTATTGACTAGCATACAGCAAAATCCAGGTTGGTTAAATAGGAAAAGATCTTCAGTGGAAAACCAGATGGATAAAAATGTTATAATAAACACCGGAGAGGACACCCTTCTTCTGGTGTGTTCTCCCTGACCTGCATTCAGCATTCCACGCACATGACTCACTATGAGGCCTTGAGCAAGTCACTTTGACTTTCTCAGGTCCCCCGTCCATGACATAGAGTAGTAATACTTATGGGGTATTGTGGTGGTTAATTAGCTAATGTCTGCACAGCACTTCAAACATACAAGTAGTAGATGATTGCAAGTATTCTAATTTATTATTAGTCAGAATTTGTACTGACACTGCAGCATTTCTATTGAACAAATACAACCGATATGATGAAGAGATTAAAAATTACATATTATATTCAGAAAACTAGGATTTTAAAAGAATTCTGGATTTCTTTGGTCACAGTAAGTTCACCTATGGCTGGAAATCCAGACTGGTACAGCCAGGGCCACGTGGTTCTTTAACCATATGACATAGGTCAAAACAGCATAGCACTTGTTTGTTGTTGTACTGTTCTTGTATGTTATGTGCAGATAGACATCTGACACTTAAAGGCATATAGCCTTAAGTCAGCATTTTTCTAGTCTACTTAGGACATTAGTACAACTGACCCTTATACCACCAAATCTCTCAAAGAGGATTCTGTGGTCTGTCATGCCCTCTGATCTCTTTGCACTGGCCAGAATCTTTCCCAATCCACTGGTAAGGGGACGAGTTCTCCTCTTACTGTAGCAGGAGGAGACTAGGAAACCTCCATTATGGAAGGCCAGCAGAATCTCTCCTACTGGAATGTTCCAGAAAATTGGGATGTTCTCTCCTCTTGTTGTCTCTGATAGTAAAATTGTCCAGACTTTTAATTTGCCTCCGTTTACCAAGCCCTACTTTATCACTATGACAACACAAATGAGACCAGTGCCTGAGGCCCTAACTCAGGTCTCCATTTCAGCCCCTTTAAATTAACACCAGGTGGATCTTCCCGTAGGAGAGTCTCCCTTCCACCATCCTCCCAGCATAGGAATATGCAGGGGTTAGGAGTTTATGCGGCCACAATGCACTGTTCTCTAGCTAGTCTAGACTGGCAGAGTGGCTTATGGGTGATTGGGGGTGTACCCAGGATTTAGAGAGTGCAAAAATGCGACTGTTGATTCACTCCCCCTCCTGGGTGGGTCTCCTGAGGCTGCAGCTCAGAATTGGGGACTGAGGATCATTTTCTTCCCTTAGATTTTGAAAGTTTTGTCCCACCTGCATTTTAGACTTCTCAGTGCTGGGATGAAAAGGAGAATGGGGCAGACAGAGTTGCAAGCACATTTAACGTATTGGACAGGCCTACAGATTGATGGAGGAGAGTGACCTGTATAGAAAATAAGTGACCAGCTGGGACAGACAGCGGAAGTACATTCTGCCTTGGATTATCCCTTCTGCAACTTTTCTGAGTTCTGTTGGCCAATGTGAAATAAGCTCTAGCATTGAGTGAGGTGAGGTGAGATGAGATGAGATGACTGGGTTGGTGGCCCCTGGAGCTGCAGGATTATCTGATTCTCTATATGCATGATTTGTTGTGACTTGTTTTTTCACCTTCCTGTTAGAACATCCGTGTACGTTTTGTGACGGGAGTTGGGTTCTATATGCCATCAGGGAAGATCAAAGGCACCTTGGCCTCCCGGTTCCTGATGGTGGATGGTGAAAAAGTGGCCACTGGGTCCTACAGGTGGGTCACTCACCCAGGATATGCCCATGTTCTTTGTATAAGGTCCACCCCATGCTTTACCTAGGGGAGGTGGGGAGCAGCCTCCTTCTTTTTTTATTCCCTAACAGTTGGTCCAGTCCATTTCCTAGCAAGGCTGCTGTGTCCAGTTGAGCTCTTTGTAGATGTCTGATGTGGGATAGAGAACACAGAACTAACTTTTGAAGGATAGAGTATCCCTGTGTCAACAGAACGTTCCACTGAATGAGAGAATTCCTCCTCCTCACCAGCCAGTGGCCAAATGGGATTCCCCAGCATCCCCTGTGGCCAGTTTGCTATCTAGAAGAGGTTAGCAGGGCAGTATAGAGAGCCCTTCTGCCAATTCAGCAACAGCAGGTTAAGTGTGGTTACCAGTGTCCTTGTCCAGACGGGGGAACTGTACTTTAAGGTGTCACAGCTTTCTCTACGAGATTTGTCCACCTGTACCATAAAGAACAGACTTAAAAATGTATACAGTGCCACTCAAGTGGGTAAGATACTCGTCACATGGTTGCAATGTTGTGTGTTTCTGAATGCTGAGAGTTCAGGGGTGGTCATTTGGGGGTTAGAGAGGTGTCAGGTCTCCCTATCTCCATGCAAAAATCTAACAGTGGCTTCTCTCTGCCAGCTTCACTTGGAGCTCATCCCACATCGACAGAAACATCCTCCTGTTGTTGACGGGGCAGAATGTGGAGATGTTTGATGTCGAGTTTCGTGAGCTCTACGCCATCTCTGAGGAGGTCAATCTCTACAAGGAGCTGAACATTGCTAGCCCTTTTAATTCAGGAGTTGGGATATCGGCGCTTCGCTCCTCCACTGTGTCTCGTAAGATGATCAACCCCAAGTATGGTCTAGTGACAGGGGCTGCCCCTGGTGAAATGTTCTGGGCTTCACGCCAGAGGCAGGAGGCACAGGAGAAACTGGAAAGGAATGAGGAGGAAAGTGAGTCAAAGAAGCGGCTGAATCAGTTTCTGAATGACTTGATCACGGTGGAGCAGGTGCTACCAGAAATTCTGCCACCTCTTGAGAGCTTGGGGAGAGAGAACCGGAGTCCCCAGAGATTGCTCTCCTGGTTCCATCGGGGTCTGAAACATAAGTCCAAATCCAGGGAGTCCATTCGCGACACCAAAAAGGATGAGGAAGCTAGCAGCTCTGTTACCAATGGGGAAACCAATTCCAAGCAGGGTAAGAGGTTTGGCAGCGGCTTTTTCAGCAGGAAAGCTAAACGGCCCCCCGTCATGAAAACTGAGGCCAATTCTTTTGCCAGTGAGGGACCCTCAGGAGAAGAGTTTGTGATCATGAAGACGGCATGCGAGGACCTGATCAGCTTCAGCCCTGTCAGCATTCGGAGTAGTGTGGGCACCTCAGGTAAACCACCTCCACCACAGTTCCCCTAGGCTCCCCCAGTGCAGGCACATGAGGGTAGCTCCAACCATTTCTTTTCCTCTCTGCCTTAAAATGACACAGAGAGCAACTGAGGCCAATGAAACAAAATCATCTTGCAGGCATTTTTAAGGGGAAATTTTGTGAGACTTGCACTTCTCATGTGACTTCCTTTGGTGGTCTGGAGGTGGGGAGGGTGAATCTCTCTCTTATTTCCCCATGTAAAAAGGTTCCAGGCACAGGTACTTTGCTCCCCAGCTGGAAGCAGTGTTAGTGGTTCACAGCCATCTTAGGTGCTAGCAGAGAACCTTGTGTTGTACTTCAGGGACCCTTTTGGCAGTGCACAGTTGCACGGACAGGTTTTAGACGTCTCCTACCACCTAACCTACTCATCTTTACTTGACTGGATATAGAGTTACTATGACAAGGTTATGGTGGGAGGGAAAACAGAGTGGGGGAATCCTACATAATCTACTCCTTTTCCATTCCCCCCCCCCCCCATCAAACGTGGGGGAGATCATCATGGAATTAGAAGCTAGGGAGTTATCGCAACATGGCCATGATCAGTGCTTGCGACATGTCCTTCAGTGGCTTTGTCCAGGTTAGTTTTCAGTGACTCAAGTGAATTCAGAACTGGCAAATCCCCTTCACACGCTAGTTCCTGAAAGGTTTAGATGTTGACAGACTGGAACAAACCTATAGACTATCCAGGCTAGTCCCCCTCTCTGACAGTGACCCATTGTGGATGCTGTGGAGAGAGTTGCAAAACTAGAACATGTCATATAGCAGGGGAATAAATTATGTTAGGACAATGGTCCCCAAACTTTTTCGGTCACCCACACCCCCTGTTACCCAGTCTGCTCACCCACCTTCCCCCGGAGCCATGGTCGGGGCTGGAACTGCGGGTCAGGGGCTGCAGCTGTGGGCAGGGCCGGAGTCGAGCTGGGGGGCGCTCCCTCCCCACCTGCTTGGGGGGGGTGCCCCAGACCCCACTGCAGCCCCTGAATGTTCCTCTGTGCCCCCCTAGGGGTTGTGCCCTACACTTCGGGGACCTTAGGGGAGTAATTTCTTCCTGACCCATCTTAACCAGGGATCATTCTATGCCCAAAAGAATGTGAAATGTGACGTTTAGCGTGGGGGAGGAACGGAGATTTGTTAAGCCTGAAACTGCCATTTTTAAAAAATGGAACGAGACTCCAGAGACCAAGAAAGTGAGGAGGGTATTGGGGAGAAAGATGAGATTAAAAAACTGCCATTGGTTGGATTCTTAGAAATATTTCTGCTGAGAGAGAGAGAGAGAAAGAGAGAGAGAGATTTAAATCCCAAAGCTACTTAACACAGATTGAAACAAGATGAGAATAGTCTAGTCTGGGCCACAATAGATCCATTTTGGAGGGTACCCTTAGAATATGGGAAGTTGGGAGTGAGCCCTCCCCTCCCCCATCTCAAGTGACTGCATATTCTCTGCACAGATAGTATATGTTAGATACTCTGCTGGTTCCCTTCCACGGAGGTTGGAAATCTGTAGACTTATTGGAATCAGATGGGTTGATCTAAGGGCTTTCAGTACCCTCTAGTGACAAAACTAGAGAACTGTTGAGTCTGTTTCCCACCTGTCTCTCTAAAGAGGCAATTTAAAGTGATAGAGATCCTATATTTCTAACCCCTGACTCTAGCTGTTGTAAAATAGTTCTCCCACCACCCTGTCACTCCCACATGTTATTTCAAAATGAGGTTGTTACCTTTCTAGGGCATGAGCTGTGTCTTCCTATCAGTACTGTAAGTCAGTGGTTCTCAACCAGGGGCAAATGTATCCCTGGGGGTATTCAGAGGATCCCAGGGGGGTACATCAACTTATCTAGATATTTGCCTAGTTTTACAACAGGCTACATAAAAAGCACTAGCAAAGTCTGCAAACTAAAATTTCATGCAGACAATGACTTATTTATACTGCTCTAAAGACTATACACTGAAATGTAAATACAAGATTTATATTCCAATTCATTTATTTTATAATTATATAGTAAAAATGAGAGCATAAGCAATTTTTCAGTAATAGTGTGGCTGTGACACTTTTTTGTATTTTTATGTCTGATTTTGTAAGCAAATAATTTTTAAGTGAGTTGAAACTTAGGGGTATGCAAGACGACTCAGACTCCTGAAAGGGGTACAGTAGTCTGGAAAGTTTGAGAACCACTGCTGTAAGTCACCTACCACAATTTGAGGTAGTATACGAATAATGAGATGGTAAAAAGAAAACTCACTCAAAGTTTATACTTAGTATTAATTTATAAAGTAAATGCAGCAAAAATCTTAGAAATCTAAAGTCAACAGCGAACTTGGTGGCCATGTGGGCAGCCTACATTTTGAGGGTTTTTTTTTTTTTTTCTTTGGGGGGGCGGCGTAAGTAGGGCAGTCACCTTGTGTACAAACTTCCAGGTAGCATTCTGCCGCTGGGCTTTTTTACATCTGCTCTGATTGGCTGGCCTTTTTTGTTTGTTTTTTGGCGTGGCAGCTGGGAGTGGCTGGCAAAATAGCTAGGGTCACTTCTGCATGTGGGTCTCTTATTTAGGTTTATACAAATAATAAAAAGGTGCTGGTTCAAAAGTGTAGGTGACCTGACACCACAACAGTGGGTGCAAGTGGATCTAAGGGATTGTGAATATAAGGGTGGAGGAGGGATATAACTTAAGCATTGCCTTAGAATTTGGATCACAGTCTCTGCCCCAAGATGCTTATAGTCAAAGAGCTTGATCTTGCAACCTTCTCTAATCAATGTGGCTACTCCAAGAGTAAGGTTCAGGCCCCAAGGTAACACTTGAGAAGTGGGGACTAGGGGGAAAGAGGAGAACAAGGGGTACGTTAATAAGATCATGTGGTTTCTTTGTTAGTAACAGGCTGCTTGAGGGTTTAATAAAAATTCTTAGGCCTGGATGTGGAGTGGCATTCGTGCTTCAAGAAAATGTGAGGCACTTCTTACTACCAAGATAACTTCAGGGCTGGCTTCATTTTAAAACTCCAAGGGTGGCTCGATGTCGGCCTAAGTGAGGAATACTGCAGTGCTGTGTTTGAGGCTGGAGGGGAAGGTTGGAACACAACCGAGGTGCTTTGAATGCAGTGGGTGCAATTATCCAAAGCTTCACACTTTGAATTAGATACATGTGTTTTTTAAAGATTCACGCAAGCATGTATTAACTCTTTGGGCTTACCTGTGCACACATCCTCTAAAGTTACTATTAATTATATTTAACTGTAGAGACACATGCCATGGTACAAATACATAGAGAGACCAGATTCCCATTGCTTGTATTGATCACTATCTGAGAGAAACTGTCCTGGCCTCTGGCTCATGCTCAGTCAATAGTAAGAAGGGACAGAAGTAAGCTTTGTGGCAGGACTTGAAAAATCTTACTGGCTGTTTACATTCCAGAAGACTATACCAGAATTAGATACAGCCAGAGATAGATACAAACTGTGTGGGTTGTAGAGACCTCACCTGTGAAGACTGGGGGTAATGCCATGATCAGAAGCCTAGCCTCCACTTACTGGGATTTCTGCTAGGGTGATGTCCCAGTGTATACTGCTTGAGGACTTCATTTTTAATAAGTGTTACCCCCTGGATCTTGAGCAGCCTCCCGCACCAGCATCTTCTGTGTTGAATGAAATACATCTAGTTTAGCTATCAGCTGCCTAAGGGGGATAGGATAACTTTACAAGTATTAAAGGGTTCAGACATCAGGGAGGAGAGGGAAAGAAGGAAACTGTTGAGAGTGGTGGCCAGGGGATGATTAGGAGTAATGGAATGAAACTCAGAACATGACTATTTAGGCTAGATATGACACTTAACTGTGGGTTTATTACACCCCAGATTTGTGTCTAAAGAAAAGTTTTGGGAGCCCCATCACTCTGGACATTTGAAAGTAGAGTGAGTAAAGCACTGCAGAACATATTGTAGGGACTAAGGCTGCACTGCTTAGGTGGACAAGCTGACCCTGTAGCCTTTTTTCATCTCTAACTCTTTGGAAGTGTCCCAAGCAAGCAGTGACCAGGTCTGGCCTTTCTTGCCTTCTGTGAGCTGAGGAGACCATAGTTCAGGCTGTCATGCTTACAGACCAGGAAATAGAGTTCATTTCTCTAGTCGTTGTAAAGCTTTGTCATCTTTTGTTTCTGGAGTCTGCCTTTTTTTGGGTGTCTCCTGATTTCACAGTTAGAAAGTGAGATGGTTCCCCCCTTTTTGCTCCCCCCCAAAAAAGAGGGGTGAATGTGGGTCTAAAACAAGCAATATAATGAGAGAGAGTTGAAAGTTGTGTGCTGAAAGTTTTTTATAAAAATCTTTATTTTATTTTTTTAACCTTTTTATTACAGGTAAAATTAACCCAAACTCTCCCACAGGGGATAAAAACAAACAGTCAGCCTGTGTGATGTCTTGATCTGGAAGGAATGTCAGAAGAATTGAAGACCCCAAAAGAGCATTTGATGGAACGTATGACTTCTTTCCTATTTGAAACTTGCAGAACTTGTTCTCACACAAATGGTCTTTCAAACCACTATAAATGTCCAGGATGCAGCTTGCTCCTCCAGTGAAAGCACACGTGTTGCATAAAGCATAAAAATGTGGATGGTTCCTATGTAAGGATTAGCGGTGAAAGTGTTAATGTCAATATTTAACTGTGATAATTGGAACTTGGAGCTAAGCCTGCATTGAGATGAATGCAGGGGAGCTTCCCACTTCTTAATGCAGCTATTTCAATCTATCTAGCTACAGACTCAAAAGGACATCATTTGGGAGAAAACTGTGAAATCTGCAGACCATGTGGATTTTCCTTGTCCATGGATTTCTATAGATTTCTGTTATTAGCAGGGACAGCTAGAAGATTCAGTGGATGAAGAAGGTGTATTTGGCTGGAAGAGACCAGGCGGTTAGTATACTAGCTCTTCACTTTGTCATAAAACTAACAACTGAGCTGAATGATTTGGTAATAATTTCCCCTCAGGAGAAGACGAGATTTGGAATATAAGGGAATGCTTCAGACCAAGATCAAGGTGTGTGTGGAGTCCCAGGCCTGGGATAGCAAGGAGTGCTGCAAGATTTTACAGGGCCACAGGAGATTAATCATAAAATCAGTTTAATCATTAATTCCGTGCCATGTTGGTCTTCTTGGAAAGTGAGTAAGTAAAGGGATACATCTTGAAGGCTGAAGGAGAGATGGGTGAAAGTTTCAAACATCTGGCTTACTTTACATTTTTAGTTAACCTCCCCCTTCCAAATACATAAAAATAGAGGTCCCCATCCCATAAATATATGGAGACACCAGTTATTGTGCACACCCTCATTGGATTCATTCAGTATTTGGACTAGCATTTTGTCCTGACGTATTTGAGTGAATTTTTGCCATGCAGATCACCACAATATGCTGCCTTCAATAAACCCTCAGTGATTTGTAAGAAAAATACATCATAATGGTAAATAACCACCTAAGTACAAATAATATATTTGTACTAACACGTTATTGAACACAGCAAAGGAAATATGGTTTCTTTAAAGAAAATGAACAAAGTTCAGCACACATTCCAAGAACGGCCATATTGGGTCAGACCAGTTGTCCATCTAGCCCAGTATCCTGTCTTCCAAGAGTGGCCAATGCCAGGTGCCCTAGAGGGAAAGAACAGAGCAGGTAATAATCAAGCGATCCACTCTCTGTCGCTCATTCCCAGCTTCTGGTAAACCATCCCTGCCTATCCTGGCTAATAGCCATTGAGGGACCTATGAATTTATCTAGTTCTTTTTGAACGCTGTTATACTCTTGGACTTCACAACATCCTCTGGCAAGGAGTTCCACAAGTTGACTGTGTGTTGTGTGAAGACATACTTCCTTTTGTTTGTTTTAAACCTGCTGCCTATTAATTTCATTTGGTGACCCCTAGTTCTTGTGTTATGAGAAGGAGTAAACAACACATCCTTATTTACTTTCTCCACACCAGTCATGATTTTATAGACCTCATTCATATCCCCCCTTAGTCATCTCTTTTCCAAGCTGAAAAGTCCTGGTCTTATCAGGGGCGGCTCTACCAATTTTGCCGCCCCAAGCAGTCGCCGCCAAGTTGCCGCTGCACCCGGAAGAGCAGCGGAGCTGCTGCCAAAGTGCCACTGCAGGACACGGACTGCCGCCCCATTCTGAATGCCGCCCCAAGCACCTGCTTGGAAAGCTGGTGCCTGGAGCCGTCCCTGGGTCTTATTAATCTCTCCTCATACGGAAGCCGTTTCATACCCCTAATTGCGTCCTGTCCACAGCCTATGCCCTGCCTGGAAGTTGCTCATTGTAGCAAATTTTTTCCTCTCAGCCGGTCTGGTTCTCAAATACCATGATGGTGGGTTTGGTATAAGAACATGAATGGAATTCTCTGTCTCTACCTACTTTTCTTTATAGGGACAGCAAACAGTCAGGAGCTGCTGCACTAGGCATGTGCAGTATATTTAATATCAATGACAAGTGAACTGCTTCTACTGCTGAACATGCTCACAAGAACCTCACTTGACCTTAAGCTGGCCATGGTACCTTTCCCTCATTCTACTGGGTATGCTCACTCCAATGTAAGTTGACAAAGTGATTGCCAGTCAGCCTAGCCAGCCTGGGAACAGACGGTACCCCCGCAACTGGTTCAACCAACTCTAACCCTAACAGCAGCTCTTTACAAAGCTTCCCCTTCCCAGTGACACAGCACAGTTAGCGGTTTACACCATCACTTAAACACGTGAATAACTTCATACATGAGTAGTGCCACTGAATTAAGCAGGGCTACTCACATACGTGAGTATTTCCAGGGTTGTCTGACCTGGCTTGCTCCTTATAAACTGAGTGGCTTAGTTTGCCTTGGTTCTATTCTCCTCCTCTTTGTTTGGAGATTTTTCTCTTTTTACTTGTATTTGTTTAACTTCAATCTCTGATGAAGTAATTGTTAACTATGGCCAGGATTGCTTCTCATACACTTTCTAATTGGTCAGATGGTTGTCTGACTTCAAGTCCGTGGTGCTTCCCTATTCTCCGTGACCAAGTATTGTTTTTTAAAACGTGGTTTAATAAATACACTAAATAAATTCACCTAACAACATGACGATTTAAATAGTCTTGTATCTTGTTTTGATCAATATATTTTAAAGATCTTCATTGCTATCCACATATCTTTTTCTTATTTTTCTGATTAAGACAGACTTAAAAAGAAATCAATACCTCAGCCATTCTTTTGCTGTTAATGTCATTCCTGCCTCGCTTATTAGTGGACTGAATTTCTCTTTGGTATTACTTTCCCCCTGGATATAAAAACGCTTATTTCCTTTATCCTCACTGGCTAACATAAACGTGATCATCTTGTTTTACTGTACTTATTTTTCCCTGCAGATCTTGTCTGACTGTCCATTTTTGTTTTATTGTCACACTCAGCTTCCACATACAATTTTTGTTCTGTTTTTCTTCCAATTTTTAGTAGCCTCAGGAATTAGTTTTATGCCTTATCTCTGGAGTCTGATAGGACTCTTCAGCCTTATTACACACAACTAGATAGTAATAATATTTATTATATTTCTTAAGTTCCACTAAACTTGCTGTCTTGCATTCTAATGCTGCATCTTCTGAACTGATTCCTCAACGTCAGTGGAACGTTTCTGGGATGCAGACAGCCCAGCAGATCCAGGCTATCTTCTCTCAAATGCAGAGTTGAATGTTTCAGCACACCGGGTTGCTTATTTCTACACTGCAAATAAGTCTGGTTGTTCCCATGGCAATAGGTCTGTCCATGGGTGAGATAATCATGATGTATTCTGACCAACCGTATTCACTGTGGTTTCTCAAGGTGCTTGAGGAATTCAGGGCCTGCAACTTGTGAAATGGATCCTTGCCCCTCTGATGGATGAAATGTAGTTGGGAGGTGGAGCAGGAACATGTGCAAAGATAGTCAGCACCTCGTTAAGGGAGGGCAAGGTGGCAGCAGTTCTCAATGAGCCTAGATTGGGCTCTTGCTCAACAAGCCATCTTTTGATGCTGATATTGCCAATTAGAACCATGTATCTAACCTTCCTTTTTGGGAAGATTATTTGAGAAGATTGTGGGGAAGCAACTCTAGCACTTTTTGGAGTCTATTTCCTTAACCCCAGTCAATCCTGTGAGAGTGCCTCAACTCTGGAACTTGCTTCCTCTTTGGTCCAGCCAGAGTTCACTGATCTTCCTGGAACATCATGAAGCTGATTCTTATGCACAGACTTTGCCATGGGATAACAAAGTTGGGGCTGTCTCTCTTTTCTGGGAGAGACTGAGTCCTTTGGTTGACACTGTGCCAATTTGTTGTACATACTTGAGTCTTTAATGTGTACATTTGCCAAGAAATCATGAAAGATGCATTTTATGAGTCAAATAAACAAATTCCTAACATGTTACATTCAGGTAGTTTGTGTTCCTTGGTGTTGCTTTATTCATTCTCACAATTTCAATAACTTCCTTTCTATGCATAAGTTGATCAAAGCTGGGGTATTTTTGGTTTGTTCGTTTTTGTCCCCCACCTCCTTCCTCCCGGTCACGGCTACTTTCTTGGATCACATTTTATATAAACCGTACAACATCCTCCAAACTGTGCACTGCAGGAGAAAGAGCAGCTGTGTGAGTATCTGATAAAAACTATGCTGTAGTGTATTATTGCACATAAGTTGTACAGGCAGCCATTATAACTACATATATGAATTGTGCATTAGTGCCTCCGAGGTGTGCAGGAATCTGGAATAGCCACACAGCTTCCCATGTGACGTTCTGCCTAAGGCAAGTGGGAATCCACTGTGAGCATGTACCCTGTTGTGTGTTACTGTCAGCACAGACCTGGTGTTGAAATCAGAAATTTGTTTCCAGGAATTTTTTTAGACTCTAACCTTATTCCAAGCAGATCCTCTCTTCCTTCCCTCACTGCCCCTTTGTCAGAGATTAGACTTGGCTTCCGTGCAATAAAGGAAGATCTTTGACAGATGTTTGGCTGTATTTGTTAACGGATGTCTGAGCAGTTAAAATTCCCCATGAGTACAGTCCCTTGTGGTTTCAAGTACCTTGAGAGTTGCTCCATAATTTTTTCATTCTCGTTCTCTTCCAGTTGGGTAGGCTGTAGCAGATGCCCATTTCAGGTGTGTGTGTGTGTGTTTTTTTCCCCTTTTTCATGCTGCTCTCTTCGTGGCTGAATTGTATCTTGCTGCTGTTGTAAATACTCTTGACAAAGTGCTATCCTTTCTTCCCTCTTTATCTCTTCTATGTAATTTGTACCCATCAATAATGACATTTAATGTGAGAGTCAATCACCCCATTGCCTTTCAGCTATCCACACTAGATCATAATTGCTGATGTTTAAGTAACTCTTCAACTCTTCTTCCTCATGAAATACTCTTTTTATTCCTGATTACATTTTGCAATGATTCTGTTGCCTGTCTGACTTCTGTATGTTGAAGGACATGAAAAACTACTTGAGATAAGCAAAAGCTCCTCCCTTTCCTGTCTGTGTTTTCTTAGCAATCGTTGCCAGTTCACAACTTGGGAGGCGTGCACCCCTTGTGTCTAAATGGCAGTAGCCTCATCCAGTTTCCTTGTCATAGAAAGCATATCAATGCTCTATGAACCCCAAACTATCTATATCTACTAGCAGCGCAGCCATCAGTTGGTTTTCATTGTCCATTTCCAGTGAGTATCTCCAAGAAAACCAGTAATATTGACCTAGTCTTTCCTTTTCTTCCTCGCTCCCAAATACCATTGTTGGATTTTTTTCCCCAAATTACCTTAAACTTTTGGTAGGTTTAATCAGACAGCATTCCAGGAGTTAATGACCTCTTCATGTCAGAAGACCCTATTTGTCCTCAGAGGAATGCAGGACTACTCCATAGTGAGAGGTTTGGGAAAACTTGGATCACAGGTGGTAGGAGGCATAGGATGGAGAAACCTACAGCTGTAGCCGCCAGGTCTTTGTGCCTGCAGCCAGGCTGGGAAACATTTTGCCTAACTCTTAGCACAGCTCTAACTTCTGATCTTTGTTTTAAATTACAAATGTTTCTCTCTTTCTTCTGTTTCCTTTCCCCTCTGCACCCTGCACATCTTTAGTAGTGGCTCCTCATGGCCCCTTTCCCTTGCATAGGGGAAAAAGGGCACTTTCTGCCAGAGGGCTGTCTACCATTACTGAGTGCAGATTTAGAGGAAGGATGGTAATTGCCTATTATGGCTGAATGGATATTGCTCTAGTTCCTTGCCTCATCCAAATTGAGTATCCGTTACCAAAGGGATAGACTCTCCTGCAGTCAGTTTAATACCATGACAGAGGGAGAACTAACATCATAGTTCTGTTACTCCCTGTTCTGCCAGGGGCCTAAGGATTGTAAACTGGTCAGACGAGCACGCCCAATAGCAGAGCAGAATGAGAGACTCCGCCTGGAATAATTCAACTTACACTAGATCATAAGAGTGAATGTTCTTTTGGAACAATCCATATCAGAAAGTCCTCTTACACTGTAAGCCAGAATATAGATTCACTACAGTTGGGTAAAATGTCCTAGTTCACTCCTTCCCCCAAATAATACAAATAAATAATGCCTATTTCTCATACAGCACGTCTCAGCAATAGGTTTCACAGTGCTTCACAATCTCTTAATATAGTTCTCCTCCAACAGCCCTATGATGTAGGGAAGCATTATTATCCCCATTTGACAGATGGTGAACTGGGGCACAGAGGTTAAGAAGTGACTTGCCTAAAGTAACACAGGAAGTCCCCAGCAGGCAAGAAGCTAGGTTTCCTATGTCCTTTGGCCAGTGCCCTAACCCCTGAACTAGACTTCCTCCAGAGGTGGGAAAGCTTCAACATACGGGGCAGGAGGCAACTTGCCACATGTCAGAGCCAGCCCCAACACTAAACAAAAATAATTAAGTGTGTGTTTGTGTGCCAAAAAGGGGTGTGGGATAAGTACATCAGCTGCTTGGGTCAGCAGAGTTAGTGGCAGCCTGAGTCACACACTTTGTTCATTTAGTAAACCCTATGCGTGGGTGTTTTGTGGCTAGATTAAGCTGCTGGTATCTCAGATTCCTACAGGATAAATTAAAAGGTCTAGGATAAATGTCTGAGCTAACTTCAGAGGGCGGAACCATGACTCCCCTTTCTGTATTAGGTCTGCAGTTTTTTAAACAAACAGAACCCAACCTAAGTGAACCGAAGGGCTATTTTCATTATTATACCTTCCTCTTTTTATGTCACTGGGAAAGAAAGGACTGAGGAGCTCCCATCAGAGCCACATGGAGGACACTTCCAGAGAGAAAGAATGAAAAGGAAAAGCCATCCCTTTTAAAGGACAAGACTTCTGGTGAAATGGCTTGAAGTGCATATGTTAGATATCCTTATGAAAGGGCATTTACTACTTCAAGTATTTGAGAAGAAAGACTACTTAAATTTTCAAAGAACTATTCATTTTATTGTTGCAATATTTATGATCATCTTTATAGAATTCAGATGCAAACATCGCTTTAGTTTCCCTAATCTTCCATGAGAAATTCTCTCTGGCAGTTCCCTTATGCTGACCACCTGCTGTTAGAGAAGCAGAAAATAAAAAGTCTAAACAAAGTGTGAACATTTTTAGCTAGCTTGCTAAGTGCAGAACACTGCTGTAGAACAGCAGTTCTCAAACTGTGGGTCGGGACCCCAAAGTGGGTGCGACACCATTTTAATGGGTTTGCCAAGGCTGGCATTAGACTTGCCGTGGCCAAAGCCAAAGCCTGAGCCCCACCACCCAGGGCTGAAGCCAAAGCCTGAGCACTTCAGCACTGGGTGGTGGGGCTCAGGTTACAGGCCCCCCCACCTGGGGTCGAAGCCCTTGGGCTTTAGTTCCCCCACAAGGGTTGGTGGGGCTTGGGCTTTGGCAGGGCTTGGGTGGGCTAAGGCTTTGGTCCTCCCTCCTGAAGTCATGTAGTAATTTTTGTTGTCAGAAGGGGGTCGTGGTGCAATGAAGTTTGAGAACCCCTGCTGTAGAAGGATCAGTTGCTCTGGTTTAGCATGGCCATTAGTCACAGTGTGCTGCTATTGAAAGAAAGGGAAATAGCTCCTTTTAGTGTACTGAGGGATAACTTGTTCCATTGATAGAAATTGGAGATGGAAGAGACCACTGGGTCATCTTGTCTACTGCCCTAGCCTGCTACAAGATTATTCCCTGCACTACATTTTCTAGTGCTTTGTAAATGATTCCACCACTTGTCTTTGAGAGTCTTCCCACAGGCTAATGCACCTTGTGGTCAGGAAGTTACAAAATAACACTTCAGTAGAAATTTAATAGGTAAAGGCTCTGATGGGAACTTCAGTGAAATAATGACCTTTCCTCTGGTATATTAAAGCATTTACTGTTCCCCTTTCAAGGTGGAGATACAGTAATAAATACAGAGTAAATAAAGTGAATATCTGATGAGCATTTTAATAAACCAAAAAAGTTTTCTGGGAGAATAATTCAGTTCAGATGCAGCTGGTTTCTCACTAACTTCTTCTGTTACATGCCTAAATTATGCTCATTTACACGAAG